AAAACGTATTTTATATCTTTGACTTTCTTCTTTAATCCAACTTGTAAATGTAGTTCTCATTCCAATAACCTTTAGTCAACATATTCATTCATTATCAATAACTAGATAATGTATTAATTAAACAAATAAAATGATTATAGATTCAGGCACCTATTACATTTTCAAGATTTCTTCTTACACTTTAAAATGATAGTTCCACTAAAATGTATTTTATATCTTTGACTTTCTTCTCTAATCCAACTTGTAAATGTAGTTCTCATTCCAATAACCTTTAGTCAACATATTCATTCATTATTTTTTCCACAATATTTGTTGAGGAAAATAATATTATTTATTAGTATATGCCAGGCAATATGCTAAGTACTGTAGATAAAAGCATCATTTTTTTTCTTGTGAATGTCTCTTTCCTGGTCTTACACTAAAAGGGAAAATTAGGAGGACTGATTTCTCCCAGCTTTCATCTTCAATTATCAAATGTTACAGCGTATCTTACTATCAGAGTTGTAAGGACACTCATTATCTTGTGTTTGTTGCATCAAAATAGGAACTAGCACCGTACTGTTGGCTGAAAGAGAACGGGATACATCTCCTAATGGCTTTAAGAATTGGGACTTCATGTCTGTTCACACATGGGGAGAGAACCCTATAGGTACCTGGACTTTGCAAATTACAGACATGGTGAGTATAAATGAGAGGATGAAGAAGCACAAGCTTACTTTTAAACACTTTGAAGCACTTTTAAGGTTGATTTTGTCATTAATTAGGGCGCTAAAGAACTATACAACTCCTTAGTAGAAGTAAGAGAGACATGTAGTGTTTCAAACCCTGCCAGCTTTGTTATACAGATCATAATCAAAAAAGGGTTGGCACTAACCATACTACAGAATGGAAAAAAAGATACACCGATTAACAGTGTGACAGGCTATGGGATAAATCAGTTTTCCCCATGTCCGAATGCAGCCAGCTGCGTTACCTATTCAGCGCCAAAATAACTGTATTAACAAAGATAGTCAAATGCTCAGACCAGCTTTGGTTTAACAATCTGCTGGAGTTTCACGAAGGCATTCTTACAATCATTCTGCAGTGGCTATTTGGAAGTAGCTTAATGTTAGGCAAAATATCTTTATATGACTCTTTTTTTTTGGTACCAGTTTTAATCATGAGACAAACCAAAAAGCATTTCTCATGTCCCTTTTCTGTTTACTAACACACTTTGACATCCCTCTGTAATTTTAACACACAGTTACAAAACTGAAAGGACAGAGCAAAAATGTGTGAGCAAAAAGCCAAAATAAATGAATTATTTAGTTTTGCATCATTTCTCCAGCATTCTTTATAGGTGAGAATATAAAAGAATAGCACTTTGGCTTTGAGCTCTTCTGAGACAAAGTATGATAAGTACCAGCACTGTAGATTTCAATGTCTAGATAACTTTTTAAAAAGAAATTACTTTAAATTCTTAAAGATGTCAATTAAATTAATACAAATTCTATAGTCATTTTTTTTTTTTTTTATCTAAGGATAGCTTTCTCCTAAAGACTGCTGAAGTTGTGATTTAGAAATGGAAGTTGTAAAAAATCGTGCTCTCATAGATAGGGCAAGAAAATGTTCTTAGTGGGTTGTCCTGTTCTTGAACATGGCCTCTATGCTTTAACTCACTTTCACCACGAGGAAACTAAGGAAACCTATTTACCAACATGGGATTATTTTTTATCAAGTTTGCTAAATCTGACCCTACACTTTTAGATTTTTAAAAAATACTTTAGATTTTAGCATATTATTTATAACATAATTATTGAGCCTCTGAAAATTATTCTTCTTTCCATAAGTACATAATTTGCAAGGGCTAATTAATGCTGGAGTTTATTCACAATACTGCATAGAGACTGACTTTTTTCCCAATGAAATGTTATTGTAAGTTGATAATTGGGAAATATAATTTTATTTATGCAAGGTACAGTTGGCTTTTCAATAACACATCCAGTATGGGAAAGAAGATTTATTTAGAGGGTTTTGATTTTTTAATTAAATGCTTGATTATGAAACAATTAGCTTCTAAATTGTTGAACCTACAAACTGTCAATTTTTATAGCAAGAATGAATTCAATGATTTCTTTTGACCCAGATCTCTACACATGAAATGCATAGAATCTTAAAATTAGATTTTCACTATGAAATCCTTTTTAGATATTTGGAATGAATTTGTTTTGTGTTATTGAAAACACACACTAAAATATATGTATGCTTATTCATTAGTCTGGAAGAATGCAAAACGAAGGAAGGATTGTGAACTGGAAGCTGATTTTGCACGGGACATCTTCTCAGCCAGAGCACATGAAACAGCCTCGTGTGTACACGTCCTACAACACGGTCCAGAATGACAGGAGAGGGGTGGAGAAGATGGTGGATCTGGGGGAGGTCCGTGTGGCTCTGTTGTTGGCATGTTCTCTTTTGAACTGCAGTAGACAATGTAGTGAATGAACCTGCACCTAACTTCTAGACAGGGAGTAAGTGTTTTCCTCCCTGTCTAGAAGGGGAGGAAAAGGAGTGGTAGTGGTAAACTGTTTATTTTCCATAGGATGAAACCTTATTTTTTTCATTTGTTCTTTTATCCAGAATTTAGAAATTAAAATTGAATGAATTCAAATTATTAAATCCCCTAACACAGATTTTATCCATTTATGACAGATACCAAATTGAAAAGAAAGCTGTTTTTATGCATGATCACATATGTCTAACACTTGCATTACACTTAGTTTTTAAGCATTTTCCACATTATCTCGTTTAATCTATAATCCCTATAACCTAGGAAAGATAGACATTAGTATGTCCATTTTGCAGAAAGGAAAATAAGGCTCAGGTGGCAAAATCATGTGGGCTTCTCTTTCCTAATTCTTTAACTGACGTTTCTTGGTAACACTAAGGAGAGCTATAGAATCACAATTTCTCTCAGAACATGAGAGACAATAGCTAAAGTAAGTCACTCACATTCCTGGGTCTCAGCCTACTGGAGCTGCTGGCTTCTGCCTATCAGATGAGTGGGGGGCAGAAACCCCACTTTCTTTATCCCTGTATTCTTCATCCTCTAGCACAGTGCCTCTGATGTCGTAGGCAGGTGTTCAGAATTTCCAGAATGGCCTTCTCTAAATAGGTCTGGCTCTGTGCTGGGTATTTTGGAAAATATAGGTATTTATTCAAGAAATTTATAAACTAACCGTGTGAAGGCTTCAGCTCAGATTTTGGCCCCATTCATAGTCTGCAAAGTGGCTTCCCTCCAGGGCCTGAGTCCCAGGGCCTCTTCTTCGTAGTCTGGGAAGCGGGTTAACCTGATGAGTGTTTCTCCCTCTGGTATTCCTTAAGGGGTACTACCAGGACCCTTCTGTTGTTAGAACATGGAAATACTTCCACAGTGGTTGCCCAAGAGTGGCTTCCTGAGCTCTGCAGTTTCCTCCTCCCCAGCCCACCACCTCAATCTCTCCCCTGGCAGCCCAGTGCCTAAAAGGGTAGTTCCGGCAGAGTAAGCACCTCCAGGAGTTTGCTCCCACACTACAGCACCTGGTGGGAGTCTTCTGTAAGAGTTGTTAAATATTTAATATCCTCTTCTTCCCAGATGGATTCCACTATAGCACACTGACAAGTGAAGGAAACTAACACATACTGAGCACTTATCTATACCATCTCATTCAGTCTTCAAAACCACCAGAAATGGAGGTGTTCTTATTACTACTTTGCAGGAGAAGCCAAGGGAGATTAAAATGGTTGCCAAAAGTACTTCAGTGAGTAGACAAGTGAGGGTTGAGGCCCAAGTCCATGTGACCCAGCTTCATGTTCTCTTGGCTCCCCACTTTGCCTCTTAAAGGGCAGGCAGTGGGCATGTGCTAGGACTGCAGCGAGCTCACCTGGCCATAAGTAATGAGTCTTCTTTCCTTCGTGGGTGGCATTTTGTGTTTTAGGAGCAACCCAAACAAGAGGACCCCAACGAGAAGCCCCTGATGTCCCAAAGCCCCAGTAGCGGCAATGTGGAAGACAGAAGAGATGAGCTGGCGGAGGGAGCCCCCTCCGAGGCCATGCTGAGACTCCTGCAGAGTGCTTTCAGCAAAAACTTGCCGCCAAAGCAATTGCCAAAGAAGTCCCCAAGTGCAAAGCTCAACATCCCTTATGAAAACTTCTACAAAGCCCTGGAAAAGCTGAACAATCCTTCCCAGCTTAAAGACTCTGAGGACAGTCTGTATAATGACTATGTTGATGTTTTCTATAACACAAAACCTTACAAGCACAGAGATGACCGGCTGCTTCAAGCTCTGGTGGACATTCTGAATGAGGAAAATTAAAATAAGTGTGTGGTCCCAAGTTGGAAATATTCATGCTTCTTCCTTACCCTTAGATTTTGCCTGTGTCCGAAGCGGTTGTTTTGTCATTGATTCCTAGGCTTATAATATCCTTTATGGTACTTTTTCTTTTTCTCCCCAAACTGTACATTTGAAGGGGATGAGCTCAATTAGGAAATCTAACTTCCAGAATTGATCATAGCACATCTTTTAAAACACATCTTTCCTACCGACAAAAGTGAAGTGTTTTGTTCTTTGTGGAATCACAATTGACACACAGCCCTCACACTACATTAGAACACCTCCTTGAGCCCATTTCATTTCTCAAATGCAACGGCAAAACCTGGGCAATCAATGAATTTGATAAAGTAATCTACAAAGAATGAGAGAGAAAAAAATCTTTCTGTAGCTTGTTCCCTGTCTTTGCCACATGGTTCTTCAAATTTCAATACCAAAAAAGCATTTGGAAAGTCTCTAATGAAAGAGTGCACAATTAGACCTATTCTTTAAGCCTTTCTACTCCAAAGTACTACTCATTCCCAGAGTCACAGTCTCATCATTTGGGGGAAAGCTGGATTATTTAGATGTAGAAACAGATAGTGAAATCTGCATTTTCTGGTTTGAACGTTCTTCTCTAATTGGTGTACTATGCAGGGGCATCCGTGGCCCTGGTCTCTTCCTGTAGTTAGTCCTCCTTCTTCTGAAGGTTTTCCTTACCTGTCTCCTTTCTTGTCCACAAACTAAATATTGAAAGAACGAAGTTATACCACTTTCTCAGAAAAAAACTTAGACCTGGAAAATTCCTAGTTATAAACTTTTTTAACAATAATAACAGGAAACCACTTATCATCACATGGAAAACTGATGTAATAACAGGAAAATATTCCTAATAGGGAAAACCAGTGACAGGTTTTGTTTTTGTTTTCTCAAATTGTGTTCATTAGAACAAGTTGTTCTGGATCTTTGAAAACTGAATGTTCATTCTTTGACATTAAAAATCTCCTCCAAACCTAGAGCTGATAGTATCCAAATTCTCATCAAATTGCTTCCAAGCTTCAAATCAAAAGATGGAACTGACAGCCCACAGACCTTATTTTGTCTCTTAGGTAGATTTGGTTTGGTACACAGAATGTTTTAAAAATGTGAGTGATTATTGAAAATATGAGATTTCACATAAAACCTGATTCTCAGACCCATCTTCCCTCATGGCAACAGTTGGCAGGAGCTGAGTAACAGCTGCCTGAGTAGACTCGAGCTCCGGGTCCCCATGGCACCCTGCTCCGTGCCACTTACAATGGCCCTGTGACTCATTATTGCACTAAATGAACGTGTGCAAAGTGTAATTTCATTAGGAAAAAAACCTACCCTCAACTTCTGTTAGGCACGATCTCTATGATAATAATTATAAAAGTTTGCTATGATCCAATTAGGTTGCATTTATAGGCAAAAAACAAAGGTATTTTAGACCCCCAAAGTACCTGTGAAATCTAGTTTGACATATTCATTTAATCTCACCCCACCTGGATGCTCACTTATACTGATTCATTCATTGCCAACCTCCTAGCTTCCCTCTTTCAACATGCCCACATAGGCACCAGCCACCTACAATTGTTGGCTTTCTCCCATTGAATTTGCCGTTCGCAATTCTATCATGAACTTTGAACTTGATAAGGCTACTGATGGCCTTGAACTGGTTCAGGAAGAGAATACTAGTCTGTTTCTCACTTTGACTTGAAGTGTAGTTGGTAAGACAAATTTTCACCTGCAATTCTACTGTTTGAATTTGTACAGAGTGAGGTTATTTCCACAGTAATACCTGTGATACATAGAGACTGTTCTCCTAAAATACATCTTGTATCTCTCTGTCCTTAGAAGTTTCATGTGTTGTTTGATATAAAGTGTTGGATAGAATTTTTAATATCGCAGCACATCAAAAAGTATTAAAGCTGAAAAGGATCAGAGGGTTATTAGATTAACTTTCAACTAAAAAACAAAAACTAAGGCACAGAGAAGCCAATAAGTGTTAATAAATACAACAGTTGATATTAGAACTCATCCTTTTCCCACTCCTAATCTAGGGCTAAATGTATGAAGCTTTCTTTTTAATCCTTCCTAATAGTATCTTTTCCAGGTTAAAACCCCAACCAACTCATTGGGTTATAGCCAAAGGTTCACTCTTGAGAAGCTTTAATATTTAAATAAAATCATGTTTGAATGTTTCCAACCTGGAGTATATTGTTCAGACATAAAACAGTTTTGTCAGTGTTTCTTAGTGCCTGTGTGGATTTTTGTGAAAATGTAAAAGAGGAAACTTACATAATATTTCTCTTGGAATTTTAAGCTATATTTTCTTTACAGGTGTTTATAATATACCAATGCTTTTATCAAACAGAATTTTAAAAGGCATAATAAATTGTATTAAAGAACCAAAAGTTTTCCTGAGAATAAGAAAGTTTCATCCAATAAAATATTTTTGAAAGGCATGTTCCTCTGTCAATGAAAAAAAAAATATGTCTGTGTTGTGATATTAAAAGTGACATTTGTCTAATAGCCTAATACAATGTGTAGCTGAGTTTAATGTGTGGTCTTAGCATTCTTAAGGGAATTCTCACATTATACACCTGATGTATTAACCAGAATCTGTAAAATATGCTTATAAATCAGAAAAATAAATGGTTTCTCACTAAGTCAAAAAGAAAAAAGCTTATGTTTCCAATAAAAACAGGATCTCTCTTATTGTGTTTCCCGAATGGACTATAAAAAAAAAGTTGAAAGTTTACATTAAAAAGTTAATTCCTTTTAAGGAAGATGGGCTTTCTAGGAAGCAATTTAAGAATCTACCTGAATAAAGTATGTTTTATTTTCCTCTTTAGCCCAATCTTTACTTTCTTGACAACACACAAAGTTGTATGACTGAGCCTTAACTGAAATGTTGAGGGGAAAAAAAAAAGCTAAAAGGACTTACTGTATGTAGAGACATGATTCCCAGCAGTTCACCAGACATGACTTAGTTTATAGGGCAGAGTATAGCAGCTAATCCTCAGACTCTCCTAAGTACCAACTTTGATCTGTCCTCAGGCTCACTTTTCCCTCCCACTTCAAACCTTCATCCCTGGAATCTCCACCCACTATTTAAAAATTTGACCTTTCTCCCCTTGGGGACTGTTTTTTCCTCAGACTCCATTCCTTCTTCCTGTCAAACTAGAATGATCTTTCAAAAATTCCAGGGCTGTCCTAAGAGGGTTTTGTCCTTCATGTCCAGACATCTTCAAAGTCTTTCCATCAGGAAGAGTTGAAGATATGTCTCTTTTCTTTTTATTGATTAATTCATTGATTTAAAGTGTACAGCATGAGGTTGTGATGTATATATACATCGTGAAATGATTACTATAGTCAAGCAAATTAACATATCCATTCTCTCACTTAGTTACCTTTTTCTTCTTTTTTTTATGGTAAAAGTACCTAAACGCTATTCTCTAAGCAAATTTCCAGTATACAGTACTTTTTTATCAACTATATTACTCATGCTGTACATTATCTCTAGACTTATTTATCTTACATAACTGCATTACCTACATCTCCCCAGTTTTCCCCCCTGCTCCCCACCCCTGGCAACCACTATTCTACTTTCTGTTTCTATAAGATTACGCAGTATTTTTCTTGCTGTGCTTGACTTATTTCACTTAGCATAATGTCCTCTAGGTTCTTCCGTGTTGTTGCAAGTGGCAGGATCTCCTTTATAAGGAAGAATAATATTCATTCATATTGATATATATCTCACTATTTCTTTATTCATTCATCCTTTGACAGTCTGTTTTCTTTTGAATATTCATTTGGTAACTATTGGATTAACTTTGTGCAGGCTGTGAGTACAAACACAAACATATTCACATGTCCCAAGAATAAACACTAATTCTTAAACGCGAATTTAAACCCACGAGGAGGAAGAGAAATGTTTTTCTAACTGCCTTGTAATTTGCAAGGCCATAGCATTAATACACATGAGAGCTGGGATTAGCCACTCTGTTCCCCCTGCTGCTGTGGACAGAGTATACTTTCCTGGACCTTTGATGTTGAGCTCGACTATGCGATTTGCTTTGGCCAATGAAATATTAATGCATGTGATGAAAGCAAGGGCCTCAAATGTGCTTGTACAATCTGGCTTGGCTTTTGCTTTTTAGTAATCCAGTACTATGAGAAGAGAATGCCCCAAGAGCTACTGCCCCTTCAACCTGGTTTCCAGAACAGATACCTATAGAGCAGATCTAAGCCAGATCCACATTCTGGAACCAAGTCCAGCCAGCTCACAGCATGAAGCAGAGCTATCCTCATGAGTGCAGCCTAAATAAGCTGAACTTTTCACCTTGTCAACTTGTATAAGAACAAATTCTTGTTGTCGTAAGCCACTGAGTCTTGGAATAGTTTGTTATACAGACTTATTGTAATAATAAAACTGAAATAAAAGTTCCGTTTGTTCATTCTACCACCAATACCACCCCTTTCAAATTGTGTCTTCTTGAGCCTAGAGCATGAGAAAGAGCCAGTATTAAGCCATGTCCCTCTTAATGCTGATCCCATAGCTAAACAGAGGTCCTGCTCAAGCTTTGAAATTTTTATTTTTAAAGATCTGCCTAATGTAGTTTCTCCTGAAAGCAGAGCTTCAGAAAATGACTTCTTTATAGATAGTTTATTTAGGAGGTAATAGCAGGGAGCAGAAGTGACTCACACGTACGTGAGAGTAACATGGAAATGGTGATTAGTGTCCATTGGTGAACACATAGAGCTTCTGAAAGCCTGGAACGAACATTTCAACTGATTATGGCCTTGGTAAAAGACAACTCAGATCAGACACCTAAGCTACCTCCAACCTCACCCTCATCCAATGTCTTGGTATTTCCATTAGCTTCTCTCAGAATTTAGATGCAACTCCAGGGTAACAGGAAAAAAATATATGATTGACTGATATCAAGTTTACACTACTTATTAGAAAGGAAAATCTTCATAGAAACAAAATTCTGATATAAAAATGAAGTAATTTTTGCTCACCTGTGTTTTTGGCTTGCAATTTGTACACACTGCCTGTATGTTGCTATCTTTAAGTATTTTTAAGCATTACTCTATTGTCAATGTATGGATAAGGAGAGGACTATAGTCATCGTGTGTCTATTATTCTCCTGGCAGGTGTCAGGGAGGCAGAGACCACTTTCCTGGTTTCTGTACTGGGTCTCTGTCATGTGCATGACTTCAGTCAATTTGCCTGGAACACCACAAAGCACTTTCCCTCCACTCCACACCACAGACGCTCCACCTCCGCGCACCCTTATGCTGTGGGTATCTTTATTGAATATTTACCTGGAGAGGGAGCCACAATCTCAAAACATTCTCAGATTTGTTGCTGCAGGGTTGTCATGGTTGTTCCTTTCAGTTCCTTTATCCCTTTCCCCAGTAACCCCAGCGGCAGGTGATTTATAAACCTAGATGATGTTTTGATGACAGGAGAGCGGCCACCAGGCTTGGTTCTGCCTCAAATACTTTGCAGTTACTTCTTCATCATCACTTTTCTCTTTCCAGACACTACCAGGGCCCACCTCAAAACTCATTGCTGGGGAGGGTCCAGTGCTCTCCCCACTTCGTGCACAATTTTCAGTTTATGATCACAGTCACAGAAAAGAATGTCACTTGAGTGTTCCATGGTAGTGTGCATGATGACAGTCTGTTTGGGACGAGGAAATGCTTCTTGGGTAGTATAAATTTTGAACCAAAAATTTTAAGATAAGAGAGATTTATAATGAGAGAAATACATGGGTTGTTTCAAGTTCTCTTGCCCGTGAGAATCAGAATGA